TCGACCAGTGTACACCGAACCGTGTGTAATAGTGCAGTCAGATTTTGAGGTTAAGTTACAATAATTATCAATAATAAGGAGCCCTTGAAACCTCAAACAATTTTAACACTTTATCCATGGTGATTGATAAGCCCGATGTTTTATCTTATCCATATAAATCTATGATACAGCAGTTTTCTATACCGTATTACCGTGGACAGTCGCGTAATTATAACGTATTATTTATTTTATTTAAACATAACTTAACAAAAAAAGAAAACAGCTTATGTGGTAGTAACTAAAAGTGAGAGTTGAGAATCCGTCTTTAAACCACAACTTTTATTCTAATGGTTTTTATTTTATATAATCTAATGAAATATCTTTAAGTAACATGATATAACGTTCATAGTAATATTATAAAGCTATATTATCATTACAACGATACATTGTTATTATTCTATTTTATTTTATTTTTTTTATTTTAAAAAAGAAGTTTAGATGTTAAATTTGATAAATAACAATATAAAAATAGAACTTACATAGCTTGTGGACATTGAAGTATTTTTCTAAGTATGATGGCTTGTTAGAGTTGTTTTGACTGGTTGCTATTTGTTAAAGAAGGCTGTTCTGCTGCTGACTGATCTTGGAACTGCTGTTGCTTGAACTGATAACGATAAACTAAAAAATTCTGTGCTTTATACCCGATAAATGGATTTAAACATTTTAATATATTCCATATTCTGCTTTCATATAATAATGACATTGACATGAATGTAAATTATTTTCAATCCTGTTTGTAATAATTTACATTCATATAGTGTAATATGAAAGCAAGTTATGTTAGCAACAATTTAAATTCATATAATGTAATTTGCTGTTGTACCTCTATGTACATGTTTCGATCGGTTTCTGTAAGGTAAGGCCATTGCTATGGAAATTTGAATATTAAATTATTGAAGTAGTGACAAAATCTGTGTATAAAAGACAGAGGGAATTCACTAATATTCACCAGTCTTCAAGATTTCATCCCAGGACAAGCAGCTCAGTTCAACAGAGATACTACCAAAAAAAGATGTCGTACCGTACAATTGCTTCAACTGATTCAGAGGTTAGTAACTACCTACTTAGTAAAATATCTTATAGCCAAAGCTAATTGGAGGCCAATTGTAACACTACTCAACGCTATGGTTATAATTCTTAAAATAATATTTAACGTCTGATTATAACATTGTTTAAAAAACTATACCTATAGTAACTAAAGCATATTGGAGGTCAGTCGTGACATTACTTAACGCTTTGATTATAATTCTTGGAACATAGAAAATATATACTAAAAAAACAGTAAAAAATAATATACTATGTTTTATGTTTCATAGAATGAACATTTCAACGAATCAATTAATATGAGACCGTCTTTTTCAAAAACAAAACCTGGTCTGAAACGTGCTGCAGAAAAAACAAGTGCGAAAAAATCTATGAAAAAAAGCAGAATAAAATGGTAATATAAATAATATTTTTTATAATGATAGCATATATAATTTAATTTTTTTTTAAAGAATGCATCATACAGAGATAATGTTACCGAACGTTTGAGATCAGATGAATTTGATGTCGAGTTAATTAATTCGCTGACATTTAGACAAGGGGATGGTGTTGTGACAATAAAGACGCCTTTTGAAGAAAAAGGAAAGAAGCCTTGGGTAATTAGCCACTATAAGGTTGCTAACATTGAGAATGTACCAGTAAAAGACAGGTAAATACATGGGTTTACATTTTAAAAAACTTATCAATGAATCTGTTTTTTTTTCATTGATTTTATTTACTTCTTTTTGTTTTTAAAATAAAATAATTTATAGATGGAAGTTCAGTGAAGCTACTGTCAGATTGTATACGAGCGACGAATCAAAAGATCAAACGCTTCATACTGGTCTTAATGAGACAATGCAACCCATATTTGACAAATTACTAACCGATCCGAAGCGTCCGACTATTAAAAGCAAGAAGACCGTTTGATTATTATATGAAAAAATGAGTTTCATTTAATAAACAAGATATTATAATACATGTATGTTTTTATTTATTCAAAACTTAAAGGTCTTGCAAAACATAAACCTATAAACTATGGTTGGTTGGAAAAATTTAAAAATATTAACAAATTAAAACTAAAACTTATTAAAACTATTCTTTATGATTTAAGGTGAGATGTAATTAAAATAAAAAGCAAGTTTATTATTGAAAAAAAAGTTTTATTAAAAAAAAACAATAATTATACATATTTAAATATTTTTTTTATAATATTAGATCTTGCAAAATCATATCAGACAATGTGTTAAAATGGAATTGTAATATTTCATATAAAAATGATGTGTCATCGTTCTGTAGGTGATTATAATAATTAAAATCATAGTTTTGAATATATTGGTTGGTAAATTCGTTCCTCTGACAGGTGGACGGCAGACCACGGACATCATTTTTAATTAGGTCATATGCAGTGTTGAAAGTATTTTGATAATTTGCTAAACGTTTTTGCTTGTCTACCACGTACAAATCTATCAAATTCTGTAATTGACGAAGTCGGTACAAATCTACATGTGACAAGGTAATGTATTCCTCATTTAGATGTAGGGTAATTAAACTCTGTTTAACATTGGTTGAATATGAAAAGGAATCGGTGATTTTTACACGCCTCACCCTAGTATTTAAATTATTAATAATCGAATTGTAATTAGGTTCAGACATCAGTGTAAACCATTCTTCTAAACTTAATGTGATAATTTTCTTTGTAAGTTTACATTCCAATAATAAAATAATTGAAATCTGCTTGTTAATTAGTAATCCAACTGTAATACTTTTCTTGTTAAAAGCCCGGATGTCGAATGTAGACTTACAGACAATTATTGGTGAACTCATGGTGAAGTTATTTTTGACAAATTTAAAAAAAAAATCTTTTATAAATAAGAAGTGTGATATAACTGTTAGGAGTTATACATTGAACTGCTAGTTTGTTCCCTTTGCAGTCATATTATATACTAAAAAACTCTGGAAAAAATGCAAAAAAAATGTGAACATACAGATAGCCAATGAGTGCGTACAAGAGAGGGAATTTACATATACTTGCTAACCTGTTACCTGAAAAACATTTTAAATTATTTTATACGCACTAATTCGCTAGGACTGTATGTCCACGAGATATTAAATCGAATATTAACACATTTAAGATAAAAAATTCAATTTTGTTTTATTTTTTTTTATCCAATACAGCAAATATTATAAGCAGCATAAATATATGTACCTATATATAAACATTTAAAAAAAAAAAAACATGATTTAACAAATGGTGTCGTACGAACCGGTTTCACAATTACAAATAACTTCGGTTTTACAATATTTACTTAAGACTTTTTGAACAAACTGATTTCCTTTCATTAACAATACAAATAAACATCTAGGTGAGAATCGAGTATGTTCTATGAAACAATTATCACCGATTTCAAAACTATGTAGAATTATTCCACACCAATGACATTGAACTGCATCGTCGAGATTGATATAGTAAAATCCACATTCCGAGAGTTTGTACTTATTCTGTCCGGTATTTGAAGGGAAACTTCTAAAAGTTCGTAACCTCGATACAAATGTAGAGAATTCTGGATACGCTGGCGATGAATTGAATCGTATTTGATCGACCAATGACTGGATATCGTTTGTGCATTTTTGAAAATTCATTTTTGAAGAAATTAAATAACTTATTCAATTTAATAAAACTTTGAGAAAATAAAGAAAAATGAGACACAACTTGAGTGAACGATAGTTCATTAGTAACTGAATATAATAAAAAAAAAATAATCAACTTTAAAAATTATTGTAAATTTGTTTATCAAATTTTAGATAAAAAAACAGTGTAACCAACACGAGTAAAAAAGAAAAAAATATTAAATATTTTTTTGCGTGAGACGAAATTTGGTAGTCAATCAGTGTGAAATTGTGTTACACGGTAAATCTGAGTGCTCCAAGGGGACATTCTCCCCTTGAACTTTTTTTTTCCCTGGAAAAGCTGGCTGTGAACATACAAATATATACTACTTATAGGCGTTAGTGAGGGATCACTACAACTGTAATATCAAAATTGTAAACTATTATAACAATTGTAATCAAATGTATGTCAGATTGTAAATCAACTATTGTGATTAATTAACTTTGATTGTTAAAGATTCTTAACCCTTAAAGGTTAACAATCTTTTTTTTGGTGGGGAGGTGTAATGGGATTACGCAATTCATGTACAACGCTCACAATAACAAGTACTACTTATGTAGAAAGCGGCCTCGTCGACCGCACCCAAAAGTGGTCATAGCTAGAATAGACGCTTCGGATCACAACAACTTCCCAAGGGCGCCTACATGCCACGCGCCGCTCAATTCAAAGGGCATCGCCTTCGTATATTCGTATATATAGAGGCTAGGGCCTCAATACAAATTAGATGTACCAGAGCCGCCAAGACCGAGCGAGCCGCTTAGCCACCAGCCATTACACACGACTTACACGGAGATTATCGACTACTACAACGAGTCAACTCACGACGCTGCAATTCACCACGACTATATTAATTATTATTGGTTTTAATAAATTACAATTGATTTATATTTAAAATTGACTACATTTTATTGTAAAAGTGCAACAAGCTTTTGGATCCCTGAAGGGCCGCATGTAACACTACATTGACTGAGCAATTATCAAAACCATAATATGGTTAAGTAAGACTGAAATAAGAATTTGAAGACTGAAAATCATTTGAAATTACCACAAAGGATTAGGTTAAATAGGGTTTTAATTTTATTTGTTATTAATATTTAAGTATTCATTTACCAAAGATTATTATTTTATTTTATTTTATTTGTTATTATTATTTATAATGTATTAATTTACTAAATGTTAAAAACTGAATTTAACTAGTCAGCAGATAATAAACAAGTATCACACAGTTATTTTGAATAAGAAGTATAATATATGTTATTAATAAAATTTATACATGTCTTTGAAATAAGTATGTTACAATTTTTTCCCTATGTTGTCTACCGAGAGCTAAGTCTAAATTACGATTATTGTCCGCTAATATCTCTCGGTTTTCCATCATACCCAAATTATCATACTCTGGAATGTCATGTTCATCCAAAGGAATATTATTAGTAATACACATATTATGTAGAACTATACATGCATTTATTATTGATGATGCTTTTTCTGGTTTATAATGTAAAGTTCTATCTTTTAATAAGCATCTATAAAAAAAAAAATATTTGGTGTTAAAATTGTATATAATATGGACATTAGAAACAGATTTAGGTACCTAAATCGCATTTTCAACACCCCGTTGCAACGTTCAATTAGACTTCTGGTTGACATTTGTTTTTGGTTGTAATATTTTTCAGGGCTTGTTGTAGGATTTGTAATTGGTGTCAATAGCCAAGGACGTAAGGGATATCCAGAATCACCTAATAATATTTTAAAATAAATATATTATTAACTAGAAACAATTTATCATTTATATTTTAAATACAATGTTAAGAGTGTATTTTACCTAATAAATAAAAGTTATGATGATTGCGTCTGTGTAATTCCTGCATTACTGGTAAAACAGAACTATTGTTCCATATAATATGGGTGTCGTGGGTACTGCCAGGAAATAGTGCGTTCACATTTAAAACTCTTAATTTTGAATCACAAATCTAAAGTTGAGTTTAAATATTTATTTATTTAGTTATACAATATGCATACACTTATACTGTAACCTTAAAATATTTAATACATACTAAAAAAAATAATGTTTAAAAGATTACTTACCAATTGGACATTTATGGAATGATATCCCTTACGGTTCACGTAAATGTATTCGGGATTTTCATTTTCATTCAAATTTAAATTATTTGAAGGAGGTACAATCGCTACGTGAGTACAGTCAATACATCCTATTACTCCAGGAAATCCAGTTTCTCTATAAAAACTGTAATAATATTGGACATCCTATTAAATATTTATTAGAAATTTTCGAAAGAAAATTTAAAAGTTACCCATTACGGATTTCAGTCAGCTCATTCAGGTTACTAGGAAACTTAACCCATTTGTCAAATATTTCTGGCCGGTTTAGTGCCTCTACAACTTCACTTATACACCGAGATACAGACGGTTGTGATAAGACTATAAACTTACTATTACCAGTTGGAGACTGGTATGATCCAGTAGCCAAAAAATTCAACGTTACTAGAATCTAATATATTTACACAATAATATAATGCAAAAACAATGAAAAATAACTAGTGTCGGTCTGGCTAATGAATGGGCCCCTTTACAAAAAATTGATTATTAATTATTTCAAAAGAATTATTTTTTGGAAAAAATTAATTTAACTTACTGTTTTACTACCTAATGTCTAATAGTAAAATAAATTACTTTAATCACAATAGCATCAAAAATACTTATTAACATTATAGGCTGACTTAAAAAATGAGGAAGAATCGCAAGTAAAATAACATTTTTTTTTTTATTTCTTTTCCATTTAATTAAGGCCCCAGTAAATAAAATTACATAAGGGCCCCCGGACGATCACTGAAAGAAACATCAAATAGAGTATAATTTACTTACTAACTTTTGTATTTAAATCGACAGCAGACAGGCGGCTTTTTTAAACTATATATGGTCGTAAAAGTTCAATTAAATACTTTACAAGGTCTTTTGTAAGTCTAAAATTTTTTATGAACAGTCTATCTGATGTATCAAATGGATCCGAAATTATCTCTTTCCTTCGTGTTTGTCGTACATTCATTGCGCGTTCATGCTCTTCAATATTTCCAATTGCAAATAACATTGCCATTTCATCAAAATTTGCCATTATTATAGGAAAAAGGAAATTAATAACGGATTAATACAAAGTAATTTACAAAACACAAATTGATGATCGATGAGAATCGGTAATAATATTTCTGTATTCTGTTGTAATAGTTGTATAATCAATAATATAATCAATAATGTGAAAATTGTTATCACATTTCATACATTATCATGCGACTAAAGTTTGTCACTGACTTATACCCAGTAGACAAACAGTCGAATGTTTTTCGTTCGACTAAAGTCGTATATCTTTTCAAGAATACCAAATATTTATTTTCATGCGAGAAAATTTTTCTCACATGCGACAAAGTTTGTCACGATTTCAAGAATTGGTCCCCTGTTCAGATAAAGTAATGTTGACACAATATGTTTGCACTTTTGACTATTTCCGGCTTTGCATGTACATAATATTTTTGTTACTTTTAAACCATTTTCATTTAATTGTAAGCTTCCAGTTATATTATGTGGTTTATCCCTTATTGCTGAAGTTTGTAAACACATACCTAATGTATTAATTTCCTTTAAATCTTTACTAATATATCCACAATTTATTATATGTCCACTATTTAAGATATTTTCTCCTTCAACCATATTTCGTGTGTTCGGAGTAGCACTACAAAATGTATAAATATCCGCCAAAGAAATTCTGTCCATTTGTAATGAATGTCTAAATATTAATTATAAGAAAATTGACCAAATTGTAGTTGTTAATAAAAAGATAACCATAAAATATTAAACATTAAATAATCTATTATCTTTCATAAAAATCTTATTACATAAAATAATAATAAAAAATTAATTTAATCAATGTTCTCTATGGATTATAATAGTAATCTGTTAACTATTCACTACGTATAATAATATTGTTTATCAGTTTCTTTTGAAAAAAATTATTTTCAGTTTCTAAAACCCACGATAATATTTAAAGTGTATATTTATACTATTGAATATATACAAATTGTGGTCTTTACTCTTTACCCTAGTTATAAGGTACTATTTTGTACATTATAATGAAATGCCAAATATTAATTAATAATTGAGATTGTTAGTAAGTATTATACCTTGATATATTTACTTTATATTTTAAGTTGAAAAATATAATATTATATATAGGTATATATATATATATGAGTATACAGCATATATAATACATACTATTATTACAACTTTTTAATTATAAAAGTAGTATAGATTTGTATGTTCACAGTCTTTTTTTTGTGTCACCACGGTAATTTCACAACGTTCAAGGTAGGATGTCCCCCTTGGACACAATAATTTTACCGTGTAAAAATTATGAAGAGTTTGCACACTCAAAGTCAGTTTTGTCCAAATATTTACCGTGTACACACTAAATGTTTTTTTTCTCAACAAACCTTATTACTAAAATGAAATAATTATTTAAAATACAGAACACAAGTTATGTAATAATAGATTTTTTATTATTGTAAATTAATTCTAAAATATATTTACACAAGTTTTCTTACTTCTCTAGTAAAAGGTACATATTCTACAATACGATCATGAATTAATAAACAATAAGCAGTTACACCTGTAAGCGAATCTGAAGCTTCGATTTCCAATTGAACATCCACTGCTGAGGCTGTGGCTGAATCGTTCTGTTTTGAAGTGTAGATAACTATAATTGGTGCGTTTGCTAAAAAAGTAGAAGAACTCAATATCGGGTTACGAATACTTTTTTCATAGTACGATTCTTGAAACAATGTATACATATTATACAATAAGGTGAAATTATTTTTCGAAAAATCTAAATTCAAATTATCGTATGGATAAGCTATCGAGTTCAGAAATACTTTAACGTTTGTTAGATTACAACGATCGAATATACTACAATCTTTTGATAACACATTTTTGCGTCCTTTCTGTAATCCAATTATGACGAATCGTGGTTTTTCTAATTTTGAAGCAGTTTTCAAATTCCACACAACTTTTTTTAGTGGTTCCGAGTTCAGGATATTCAAAAGTTTCAAAAGATCTAAAAGGAATTAACAAACTTTTTTCTTTTTCTATAAGTTTCAATAATTTCAACCTTTCTTCATCGTCAACCGTTATATGTGGAACCTTCCAGACTATTTTATTTAAGGTGACTTTACCTACAGTAGCAGTTGCACTACTTTTAACTTGTAAAGCATTTAAATCACTATGACTTCGGGTTAATATTAATTCCAATCTAGAATTCACTAATATTCTTTTATAGTCTTCAAACAATCCTAACCAATATTTCAATGGAATGCAAGCACTAAATTCACCTTTCTCATTTTCCGATTGCGTTGCGTTTTTAAAATTCCAACCAGCATTTTTATAACAATTGTAGTTATCTGGCGTACCGGATAAGTAACCTTTCAACGAGCTAGTGATTCCAAGAACACGTGTGCTATCTACTTCTATCCCATTGATTTCCAATCGTATTTGTTCGAAGAGGTAAGAGTAACCGTTATTAGATAGTTTCACTTTGGTAGCATCAGTAATTGTTCCTCCTAAAAAAATAAAGCTTTCGTGTAGATATGGATAAACATCCGTTTGCTGGATTGATATACGTATTTCATCATTATTATTAAATGATGTTGTATACGGCGCGTATGAATGATATTCAATTTTCGTAATTTTAGAATCCGTCTCGTACTGCGAAGTTATATCCAAAATATCACTTTCAGGCATTCTACTTTAATTGATAACCCAGAGCTTGTAAAATTTTTTTATTCTTCACCGTCAATTTTTTTATTTTATTTGATGTTACTGCTAGCACTTTAGTCTTCAACTATTTGCTTCTTAACTCGATCCTTAATGTCTTCAATTTCATAACAACCCTTTTCCAATGTAATAAAACATATCATAGGATCATTATTGTTTTCATTATCAACTACTTGTATAGAAAATTTATTATTATTTTTATTAATATTTGGGAATGAATTAAATGACTGTAAACATAACAAAGCTATTTCTGAGTCATCGTAAAGGTTTATAGGCGGAAAATAATTTACAGATAATACAGTTGAATTTCCAGTCAAACTTAATGTAATAGATTCATGCATTGTAACAATTCAAGACATAAATGACCACAGTTAAATGTATTGAAGTCTTGATAGTTGGAATAGTTATATACTATTTTGAACTGCCTGAAATAATGTTGTAATTCAATTGGTGGGGGTAAATCACCAAAGCTATCAAAATATACAACTTTGTCCTTATTTTTATAAAACGCTACCCAATGACTTCCGTCGCCTGAAGATATATCCAAGTTTAATATACCACATTCAACCGTATGTGGTTTTTTAGGTAAGTTATCACGTGAAAAGATTCCACGGAAATGATTGATTTTCAACTTTTCAACATATTTTATAATATCTTGAGACGAAAGCGGTCTGTCAGGTAGCGTAATCATCAGTTTTTTTTATCCTATTCTTGTTTGAATTCAAACCACTACCTTTTTTTCTTTTTGAATTTTGAACCGCATTATACACACTAGCACCTCCAGACATCAAACTACCAAGTGCTGACAATCCCGCAAATATAGGTATTAAGGGAATTACACCTCCTGACTGTCTCGGCGCTAAAATCAATCTTTTACCACCATTCTTTTTCTTTGAGATTCTTTTTTTCTTCGCTGCTAGTATACCATTTGTTTTTATAGCACGTTTCCGTTTACAACCCATACCTATTTTTCTTTTAGCTTTCATTGCGTTTGTTACTGCGTACGCAACTAGTTTCTCTTTTCTAGGAGTATCTTTTGCTTTAAATCTTTCCCAAGCACGATTTTCTAACACTTTATCAGCTCTATGTCTATCGTCTAAATTTTTGCTCGTTGCATACACAATATCGTGATCACAACAAGCAGCATCCAATGGGTTTATTCCTTTATCGCCACGATCTAGCCTCTTTTTTAATTTCGTGCCAGGACCACAATACTGATATCTTGAAACATGGGCTTCGAACGGGAGACTATTTATAAGGGAGTTTACAAATCCTTTACCAATCTTGACTGACTTACACTTGCGAGTTGAACGCGTCATCGATAACTGATTATAAATTAGAGAATTCTAGAGTATTAATAAGAAAATAATATGGATTTGATAGAACAGAAAGATAAATTGGATGTTATTAATGAAGATGTTCAGGTAGTAAGAAAACCATCAAGACACGGTTCGTTATTACCCGATACTATACGTGCTATATTAGTTGGTCCCAGCGGTTCAGGAAAAACAAATATAATGTTTAATCTGATCACACATGTAAACGGGTTAAGATTTGAAAATATTTATTTATACTCGAAAACCTCTAATCAGGAAAAATATGTTTTATTAAAAAAAATAATAGATGGTATACAAGGTGCTAATTTTTTCCTATTTACAAGCGCTGATAAGGTTATAAAACCAAACTTAACGAAGAAAAATTCTATTATAATTTTTGATGATGTGATATGCGGCCCACAATCTGTAATCAGAGAATACTTTAGCATTGGTAGACATTCAGGTGCCAGCTCCGTATTTTATTTAGCACAGACATATTCTAAAATATCAAAACAGCTTGTAAGAGATAACGCAAACTTTTTAATAATACTGAAACAAGATGATACAAATTTACGACATATATTCAACGATCATTCGTCTACAGATATGGATTTCTCAGAATTTCGGAAAATTTCTCATTTATGTTGGAATCATAGCTATTATGGGTTTATGGTTATCGATAAAACTCGAGAAATGAATGAAGGAAGGTATAGATGCGGTTTTCATACATTCATTAAAATAAAATAATTTTATTAGTTTATATAAATATACTGTCACACAGTTATTATCTGCATAGTGTCATCAGTAGTCATACGATACAGGTATTTTACATTTATTAATAACAATGAACAAAGAAAAAGTCTTGTTGGAAAATTTAATAACATCAAAAAAAAATATACAACGAAAAATAATGGAAATGAAACGTGGTGTTATAGATTCTGAAAACTATTTCCGTGAGGCATTTAAGCCGATAATT